AAAAACGAAGATCAAGTTTAAGGCAAACTACATTGTTTAAGATTATAGCTTGTTAATTTAGGATTGTTTGTAAAATACAATAAAATTCTTAATTTCATTGAAATCATGAACTGACCTAAGTTAGAAAAGTAGAAAGTATTAAAGGTTAAGCATTCACATGCAAGGCCGAAGCTTCTGGGTTTGAGTCGCGGCGTGTGAGGTTGTAGACACACATACTAGAACGAAACGACTGTCAAGTATTTCAAAATTTTCAGTGGTGGTCTAAATTAGATCGGTTTATGATTCCAATAAAATTCAACAATCTTCACAACATCATAGTGAAAATTGCTAATATTTAAAATGAGTTATATGCAATGTTAAATTTGAATAAGTTTATGTCTTCACTTGGAATTGTATGATATAAGAGAGAAATAATAAATGTCATTAGACATCTGATCAAATGTTTGATAAAAGGCTATATCGTGTATGAAGTTATACGAATTTAGTAAGAGATAATGGTATATATATAAACAATATCCTTTGTTCAGTGTATTAGAATTTATCCTAACTTTGCACTACTAATGTCACTGAAGATAGAAATGAAATACACTGTTATGATAGAAATACTTTGAGTTGAAAAAAAATCAGTTTATTACACTCTAGAAACCACAATAGGAAAAGAGAAAATTCACCAATTAATATTTAACATGAAAATGAGTAGTAGAGCAATTGGGGAATTACTGTTTAGGCGCGTAAGAGAATAAATGAGTAGGTCAGATGAACACTATTTATTTATTTAGCCAGATAAACATTGGTATAAAGGAGCACCAAAATATATGTGCGTCACACAATAAATCATTAACTTTCTATGTGGGATGGGATAATGCCCGAGTGGATAAGCTGAAGTGGGTGATTTTCTTAGGGGGCAACTGTGCGAGCCTTCGACCTGGAGGTCTAATCCACAAGGTAGTGGGTCAGCGTTGGGAGATGCAGTCCAATGGTAAGCGATGACCAGCAACAGATTCGCGCATCATTTGCTCCCTAGGGATCATGGAGCCCATTGGTTTGGAATCACGAATTTTTAACTCCCCTAGGCGGGTCCTCCTTACCCACTAACCCGATTTAAGCGCCGGACATTCGCTCTCAGTTTCGTAAACAACAATTTCACTGTGATAAGGCAGTGAGTGGGACTTCCCTGGAGTGGCTATATACGCGTGGCCATTTGATAGCATTTTTAGAGGGAGAAAGGAATCTATTCACCCTCAGTCGTACAAGACCATTTGAAGGCTAAATAGTCGAGTAAGCTAGATGAGCATGTACACAGTCACACACGCTCACATATACATGCAAATCAATATGAAAAGGAGAGAGCAATTATGTGGGAATATACACGAATTATTAAGAAAATAACAGTATAGGGTTTTGCGCAGATTGCAGAATTTTCGTAGTTTAAATCACGGACTGGTCTTAGCCAAACCACTATTAAAAACCTGGAGGCACTGGATAACCGTTTCATCTTAGTTTGAAATCACTCAGTAGTGTCCACATACACGATCATACCAAAAGGATTCGAACCTAGAATATTCAGTCTCATGAGCGAACCTTTAACCCCTAGACTGTTAACCAGGAATCAAACAGTGTACACATCTAATAAATAAATTTAATTGACTCACGATACTGACCAACCTTCACTCAATAGCTGAGTTAGATAACTTTCTTACACCACACATTATTGAACTCTACTAGTTACACCTTCCCATTAGAATTCCAAGAATTGCATTTAGAAGATAGCCGCTAATAAGTACATGACTGTTATCAGTATAGGATTTGGTGGAAATTAATTTTCATAGATTTTATATCATAAACTGATAACGAGATTTGTCTGCCATAAATTCATTCAAAATAACTTTATTGATCTAGACATATACAAACTTGCAGGTAAGTAAAAGGTTACTTTAAGGTACTCAGTGTTGACTTTTTACAAGCCTATTTTTTTCTAGTATTTGATTGTAAAGTACTTTTGGTTAGTAAAAGAATTATTTTAATTAACCAATTACTTATCAATCATTAACTTAGAGACCAAACTATAAATTCAGTGTTCATCTTGTTGTGTTAATGAGGTATGGAAACTTGGACCGACGCATATATGTGCCTGACCTACGTTGTAGCTGACTGACTGACTGAATTTATATTTATTATTATTATTATTGGGATGGCTCCCAGAAAGCGTGACAAAGCCTTCAGAAGCTATAAAGGATTCGAACAGATTGGATCTAATCAGAACCCGATAGAACTTTCCAGAATATCAACGTGATATGGTATGATTGACTGTATTATGATGTTATAACCCATACTAAGAACTATAATACCGCCCCTGTTTCTCCGTACATTTCTGACACTTAAAAACCACTTTTCCTGCTTTCTTTTGTTTTTTGATTTGTAATCTTGAGTTTCCAGACGTTCGAGAGTGCCAAAGCTCTATATACCGTTTAAGCCGTAATCTATTAGAGGGTATTCATTCATTCACACACACAGAGTTTATTTTTCAAAGTGAGCATTATTTACAATACGAATTCGGTTTAAAAATAAGGAACATGTTAAGTTTATCTGTGAGCTGTAATCATAAAAAATATAGACATTTATAACTTATCATTAGTCAGCAACACATAAATTGTTTTATCCAACTAGATAAAAAATTTATTAAAGTGTTAGTCTAGTCAATAGTATCTAATTGTAATGTAATTCATTATAATGATGTGAGTTTAGTTTCATAAAATAATCACTAACTTTTAGCAGGATGATTTCATACAACTTATAAGTAGTACTTTACTTATAGATTATTTAACGTTATTGAGATTCAACTAAGATTAGTAATATTTCATCCAATAATTTCCTGCTAATTTCTCAACCATATAATATAGTTCTCTCATATTTCCTCCTATAGCTTTTATGTTATACTCGTAAGGTCCATTACATAATTTCTGTTTCGCACTCATAATGCTCGTTTTCACACGTTTGTCTGCTTGTATATTCAGCTTGTGTCTTAACTTTCTTTCTTCACTCTTGTTCCGTTCTTATTCATTGGTGTCATCATGTTTCTTACTTCTTCAATCTTATCCAGACTGTCTACAGAGATGTATTATTGTTAGTACTTATTGAAGCACAGCACCTCTAGGCAACTTCAAGTTATTGGTTCTTTATAACCCCATTCTGTGAGTGCTTTCTGTGTCCTACTGCAAATCCTTGTGTGTGCGAAGCATTTACTTTTTCATGACCAGAATGCAACATCATCTCTCCCGAAATTAAGCTTTTCTGTCCAGTGTGCCTCTATTGGGTTTCACTCATTCCGAGCATCAGCAGGTTGTATCTTGTCATTTCCATAGCTATATGAGTAGTCCTCCAGGTCTTCCGCATTGTTCGAACATTCCATGTACCGATATTACTTGCTTCTCTAGTTGTTAGAAGGAACATCAGTCTCGTAACTTCCAAAGAATCTGGTCTTTCATCATGGGTCGTTATAATTCTTTTAAATGAAGATTCTTCAACTCTCAGGTTCGAGTTTAGATTGTTTCTGGCTAGCGTTCTCGAGTGAGTATCTGTTTTTATGGGTTTTGGTTTATTAACCTTATTGCCGAACCTCACTCTTTACCCGGACTTTGGACTAAAAGGAACACTGTTGGGAGTGTGAGCGGAGTTGCTTACAAATATAGATTAAAACAATTTCACAGGGTTAGATTCATAATTTTTCACCTTCCAACGTGGCATAGACTAGGCACTCGACGATTTCATGCAGATATCCTGTCTTGATATAGAGACTTCTAGCTTATTTTGTCAGTTGATGAATTTTATGATTTTATCAACCAACCTTCTTGTATTCTACCTAGTATTGTATACCTAACCACAGAATCACTTACTTAGTGGTTTCATCATGTATATTTGCAGTTCATACATGGTTTGTGCTTTCATTGGGTATATTTCACAGTAGTAAAGCAATACGATGTTGACTTATGAACAGCACACTTTCCCTTTGATTGGAAGACAGATAAATGACATGTATGTTTTTGATATCTAAGTGGAAGTAAAACCTTGCCTGTTAATGTTATATCATTTTATTTATTTAGCATATTATATTGATAATTGCGATGATTGAGTCTGGTAATAAATAGGCCGCATTATTCAGTAGGATGTTTGTTTGTTATCTACTGGATACGTGATTCTAATGGATGAATTTCATCGTGATAATGTATAGTAGGCGATTCTGTGTTATGTTATCTAACTTTTTGAAGCTTAGATAATGACAAACAAGTGCAAAGGATTACATATATAATTTTTTAGCTTCATAGATCATAATTTTACAGTAGTAGAACAATATGAAATGAACTGACGAACAGTAAACTCAAACATTGATTTAACAGACAGACACATGACTCATAACTAAATACATAGTGAACGTACATCTTGTTGATGACTACCCAAGTAGCACAAAACTAAGGGTTTAAAGGTTTCTTACCGATTACTATCTAACAGCAATGTAATAAAAAAACTGTGGTTTAAATGAATTACTATTGTAAAAATACATTATTTGTAAAACTTAACACTTTTGTTAATCAGTAAACTCATAATGACAATAATGTACTCTCTCATACATTTATCTTCAAATAGGCATCAGAACTTCTAATATGTAAATTTACTAGGCCTGGGACTAGTTAGATAGTATGTATAGTTTAACTGAACAGTCAACAAATATTAAGGTGTTTTGCGCACCGAAAAGATCGTATACAACATACATTTGTGTAGCTGGAAGTTAAGTACTTGGATTTGTGTTTAACTGATAAATTAAATGACAAGTAGAAAATATACAGCAGAAATCACATCGATTCACAATATAATCCTTGATATCAAACTGATTACTTCGCCTTCAAATTAAGAGAGATACATCATTTATATATATTCACAAGGAACAAGAAATATAACCGACCGGAAAAATGAGAAATTATATATAGATACATTTATTCACTTACTGTAACAGTATGACCTTGGTAAGCTCTGATTCTTAACCGGCCATTTTCTGGATTTGTCGACAGTTCATAGCGTTTTTTATCGTTCGAATTAACAACACGTGAAATATCTTCTAGTCGAACCCCTTGAAATGGTTTCAATTGAAGTATTTTATCTACATAAAGGTAACCACCTGTAGAAATTTAACGAAAAATAAGTAAATATTAATAATGTTAATAAAAGCAAATCAATTAGTAACGTCATGTGAACTATAAAATTCAAGAATATCTCTAAAATGCTTCCTATAGTAAGAATAACAATTAGCTCTTATTAAATATACTTTACACATATGATAGATAATTGGTGAGTAAAGTCAGAATATTTAACAATCACCACCAATCAAGGTCACAAGCTCGAACACTGACTCATTTGAAATTCAATTTAAACAACTAGATAATTATCAATGTGGGGATTTGGGGAGATTGTAGTATTTTAACAGTTGAATTCACGAATCAATCGAAGCTAGACTACCATTGAGAACCAGGAAACAATGTTGAGGAGTCCCATACTAGGACGAAACGGCTATCCAGTTCTTTCAGATTTTCAATAGTGGTCTAGCTTAAATTGACTCGTGAATTCAACTTTAAAAATTAAATAATTTATGTGTGGTAGTAGCAGTAAAATATTATCAGTCACTAAGTGTAGACAAACAGTCACTTAACTTATTGACAATGAAATATATGATCTCTATTCCTCTCATTGATTTCTACTCCTAACTCGTTGAGTGTAGATTGCTTCTAACTGTGTGCAATCAAGTATTGTCTAGTATTTACGAAGGTTCTCTAGTCTTGATCGTGAATCGTGTATCTGATGTATGGTGATCTCATCTCTGTGTATTGTGTATCGTTCAAGTATCCAATCTAGCGTCATGTAGTAAACCGCAGAGAGAAAGGGAGAGGGAAATATTGTACACCTTACGTTATATTAATAATAGTCTAACTAGACGTAGGAAAATTATCGTGTAGTTTGATTACTCTATTTCTACTTCAGCAAATTTATCCCGAATCGATATATATATTAGATGAAACTTAATTCGTAGTACTACGGTATTCATTCACTCTAAATTAAAAATCATTGTATAGCTATCGCGTAGGTTAAATAACTTTTGTGCAGTATAAATCTTGTCAGATATTTAGTGTGGTATGGTATGTACAAAGAAATGCAATCGGTATAGGTGATGCTATATTGATTACTTTGTAACATTTATTTTCATGATTGACCAATTATTTTCACAGTTGAAATCATAAAGTGATCTTATCCAAAACACTATTAAAAATCTGGAAGCATTAAACGGCCGCTTTATCCTAGCATGGCACTTCATTACAGTGAGCATCCATGACTTCGTGACTAGCAATTGAACCCATAGCCTTCAGTCTCGTGCGTGACTGTTCAACCTCTACACTAATCAACCTGGACCCAATCATACTAATATATTATTTGTTGTCTGACCACGAGTACTCATAGAAAAATTATTTCATTAGAACGGTTTAGGCAAAAGCATCATATATTTAAGATGGCTATTGGATGTTTGCGCAAAGTTTGAAGCACAATAACAAATAGCATGTAACATATTGAAAGTTGAATAAATACTTAGAATATTTAATTACTAAACAATCGATAAATATGAGAAGGTTGAAGGATGAGAACGGTAATTTATAAAGTTACAAAAATAACTTTAAAGTTTTTGATACTTAAAGTTTTCATCGATATAGGGCAAGAGAATATTTGTCCATCCAATTTATTATCACTACTCTTAATTGCTTATGTTGTATTCGAATTTATAACCTTAAATTCTGGCCAACTACTTTACTTGAAGAAAATTTTGGTTTTGCTGATGTAATAAATTATTCATTTATGTAACCTGCATTCCTACTGGCTAAAAATTGGCTTTAATTTCTCAAAGTTACTTCAAAAGTCGCTGAACATCTTCACTATAGTCTACTTTTATTATGAAATTAATTTAGGTGGAGAGTTGGCGAACATTTTAGTGAGTAGATCATCTACTGCAGTTCGGTCACCTTTTTTATGTGTTCAATCAATTCATCCAACATTGTCTCATGGGAATATTTAGATAAAAAAACCTATGACGTGAAAACAACACACATACATACCAGGTTCATATTTCATTCCGACATTCTCTGCTCCATGACGTAGAATCCAAGCTAACTTTTTTGATAAAATTACATCAGGGTCTCTCTAAAGTATCATAAAAAAATATCAAGAAAAGTCGAAATATGAAATATCACCATACATTTAATTCAGGCGGTTTCAAGCGAACTTTTGATCCTCTAACACTGAATCGTAATAATGCATCATTATGTACAACATCAATTATTTCATCATATGTACAATGTTCTTTTTTGAATTCAGGTAATTGGATAATTTCATCAATTAGGAAATAACCATCTGAAAACAGAGAGAGAAAGAGAGGAACAGAAACACAAGTTATTTGTTGTGAAATGAAATCAATGCATTAGACAAAGTTGTTGCATCTTAATATGAGGACTGTTCGACAGTAATGGGTGAGCACATTCAAGATTCAAGTGTTTTCGATAAAGATAATGAACACTATCCTGGAATTATAGAAAAGCTGTACACGAAAGCATCAGATTAAGTAGTAAGTAGTATGACCACTAGCAACGTTGTGAAGCTTTTGACTTCTGGAGTTAATAAAATCCAAAAGTAGGCAAGTCAACATTGGATAAAGGTTACGACTGTCATGGGACTGGAAGATTTTGAGAGTCCGTGGTGTGGATGTATTTTGCTTAAGAGTTTCAGAATTTGAGTGAAGTGACTGCCCGATATCCTAAGGTTTTCAGTAGTTATTCAATTTAAACCAAAGTTAGTGATAAAAAATCATTGCAAGACTACAAACCAACAACGACCTTGAGGGAACCAATCAGATTCAAGATAGTGGTTATTGGATTTTGTGCAAAATAAAACACATAGTTCTGATAATCTTCGTCTTCTAATTACATTATCGAAATTTATGAAATAAGTAAAATTGTTCATAATTATCTTGTAAGGTGCTTAGAACTGTTAAAAAACTTTTAGGGGTCCATATAATGAGTTTGACATGATGCATAAGTCAAATTACAAGGATTACATGCTCCTGACGCAGATCGTACCTGAGAGCGATGGTGTACTTTAGGGCATAGCCGAGTGTTCTAGGATATTATATCTCTAACTCTTAGCTTTGACACTACTATGTGTAACTCCTGAGTCTAGACGGACTTATTGTCCGTAATCTTAATCCCAATTCATTTTTAGTGCCCAGAGATCTGACTCCGATTTGGGACGAAAGGACTAATATACTGTGAACATAAATCTTCCATTTAACACCTAAGCTAATCCCGTTTGAGCGACGGGGGTAACAAGTCAAGTAAGGATTGAGTCGGATGTATTTATTTAAGACAATCGCTTATCCAGAAAGACATGAAAACGAGAAGCAGAAACTCGAAGCGGAGAATTCAAGAAAGCTTACTCCCTTTTACAATTCATTACAAGCTTCAATACAACTCAAATAGATAAAGCATGGTGTGACAAATAAACAGGTACTGATTGAAATAATGAGTGATAGACATGTAAACAGTACATATGAGGTGCATAAGAACAGAATCACAAGGACATAGTGTGTGCTGAAGGTCATATTACCTATAATGACAACATTTATTATTATAGTAAGAATGACTCAATAATCATATGTTGTCTGAGTCAATAAAGTCTGTCCAAAAGTTAGGGTGAATCATCTGTGTAGTTGTACTAGACGCTAAACTTACCATGTTGAGACTGTATATCCATCACCACATCACTATTTTTTTATAAATAGCTTTGTAACTCTACACTCTGTTTTCTCATTGGATGATACGTCGCTCAAGGTTGACGTTATTTTATGGTCACTTCAAAGCCCAACATGATCTTCATAACACCAGAGACTTTGTAACACACAGTTTGATAAGGATAGAATGAGGATTCGTTTTAATGAACGGTATTAGTCTGATCATAATCTATCATAATCTATCAATGTGAAGTTACTATTTTATACTGAAGTTGTATGGTACACTGATTTACTTTTTTATATGTCATTGCCAATTGTCTACATATATATCAGCAAGCTTATAAAAGATCAGTCAGTGAGTGTATTGAAGAGTAATAATTGAGTTAGAGATGGATCTATGAATATAAGAAAGTCTGAACTTCCATTGCTTGAGATAATTGACAAATATGATGTACGTATTATGCCAATCTATATTTCGACATTTGATTTTATTTATAGTAGACGAATCAGATTTCAGTGAATGATGGTTTATTTCTACGATTCATAAAAATCAATCTTCCAGTGAAGTCAGTCAGCTAATTAAAATCCATGTAAAGTATGGTACAAATGTGCGTAAGCCCAAGTGGGCAAACCAAATTGACACGACGAGATGAAATTAACAACCATGTTGGATGTGAGAAAGGTACTCACAAAAGACAATGGGAGATGGTTGTACAACATTGTGGATTGATTGAAGTTAGTCTAGCACACCATTCAGTCCCCGCCCAGTGGTCCAGAGGTTAAGCGTTCGAGCGCGAAACCGAAGGTCGTAGGTTCGATTGCCCATTGCGGAATTATGGATTCGCACCACTAAGTAGTCGTATAATAGGGAGAAACAACTGTTTAATACTTCCAGGTTCCCAGTAGTTGTCTAACTTAGGTCAGTCTATGATTTCAGTGAAACCAACAAGTTGAGTAAACAAAGGAATTGATGTGGTAACAATGATGAAGAGAAAGATTAAGCACTGACATATGATTCAGGAAGACAGAATGAAAAGGTGCGTGCGATAGAATACTGGAACTCACAATCAAGAATGCAATAAAGAGTGAAGTCGAGATGTTAATATCTATATCAACCATAAGAGACAAAATAATCCATGGTGCATCTTCCAGAATGATCATAATTAATTTTTATTTTAGTTAACAAACAGAAATTAAGAAATTATGATCACCATTTAGCGGTCTTTTTCGTTGTTATAGCAACTTAAGAGTGTATATTAATAATAAGTGACCTCAACAGAATGTATATGAGTGAGTAAGGTTACTTATAACGTAGGTTTTCAAAATGAAAATAACTACCAATCTATTTTAAGCAACTAAGATACAATACAAAAATGAAGTAGAAACTTAGATAAGTCAATGTATATTTACAAAAAAGGAAAGAAAGTAGATCAGTTTAGTATTTAAGGAAACAAAACAAAATATCCAGATTTGGAGGACAGATATTGGTTTGATTGTTGTTTGAAGCCATTTTAACATAGAATTAATGTTTCCAAAAGTTAATCTAATTGACATGATATGAAGCAAAAAGATGCTATTCGCTTGACAGCAAAAAAGACTGATCTATGGATATCCTTGAGACAAACGAGATCTATAATTGAATATTTTAAATGACCAAAGCTTTAGAATTATAGAAATAACAAAGATTCATTCACATCAGTCATTCATAAGCAACATAGAAACCTTGTGTGTGTGTGTATGCATCTACTTAAGTCGTCTCACACTTAACGCCATAATGAGATGAAAATATGAAGACAAATGCCACAGTAGTGGGAATAGTAACAGTATCAGTGGTGGTATAAAATATTAAACCGAGACAATAAAATTCACAAAGAAGGAATACATTTGTGAAATACCAACTATAAGATAATTTCAAAACCCAAATCTGAAGGAAGACAAAAAGTGAACCCATCTGCACAATTGTGAACCACGTCATTAAACGTCAGCAACTACTGGCCAAAATCCGAACCACGTAGTCTTTACCTGCCATATACCCGTTTACACAAATAGTCAAAAACATCATAAACTGATGCTAAGTATTAGTCAAGTTGTTTCTAGCTTCCATTCAAAATATTCTTATGCTAGCTAACATCGCCCGTACAAGTAAGCAGTAGTTATTGATTTGTAATACATCTCCCAACCATTTCAATTGATGAAGATTCATCACCTAATCAGCCGATTTGCCGTGTTTGTCATCTTTATATTCACATATTATCTTTTGCGCTGTGCTGATTAATAATATTCATTACTGTTCTATTACGAAATATAACTGTTGGTTACGACACATTATCGTATCATATCTCACAATATTTTTGTTTTGTTGCAAACTAGAAAATGTACGAAGGAACTTTGAACTGTCAAAAATGAATAGTAGGAAGAAATAATTTGTTTATATAAAAATAACAATGATAGTTAACATTGTCAACTCTCTCCCCAGTCCAAAGTGAAAAAGCCTACCTGATAAGATAATGGTAATTTAGTAAGTAATATAAATTAGTACGATGAAATGTTAATTATTAAGAGATAGTTGAAGAAAGTTTTCACTGTTAATAGTAATTGAGTACACTAAAAGCTTTAGTGTATCATTTTATTCATAACTTCGATAACCACTATTCAAAATAAGCAATGAATATGTACATAACTATCAAGCACAATGTCTTCACTTTTGTTTTTTAAACAATATCAACTTTTGTAGGTTGTATTCACCAAAGATTGATTTTAGTTGTAGTACTATTGGAAACTACGTAGCACTGAGTAGTTTTTTTATTCTCATATGAACGCTTCTCATTAATGCGCACTTACGATCTCGTCACAAATTTAACCTATGACATTCAGGTCTCACGGTCAACGACTTAACCTCTGTACGATGTCCAGTGGTATAATTCTATATTCAATCAATCTATGATATAGCGCATCAATTATCCACTGTCATTAGTTACAAGTGTTTCACCTCCCACAATATTGTTTTAACTCAATTTTTGACGGAGAAGAAATTACGTGTAAAAAAGTAAATTTTCAACTGAAATGGGATTAAAGAGTAGTATTTACTCCTTTTTTTATTTCTCTCACCTGGTAAATCAGTAAATTTATGAATATGCTGTAGCTTTCCTTTTAAAAATTGTTCTAATAAATTTCCAATTCTTTCATATCGATCAAGTGATTTACGCTATAAAGAATTAAAAAAAAGATCCAGATTATGAGAGCGAGAGAAAGATGAACTATTTTAATAGGAAACCTAATTTTTCCTACTTAAGATTTTAAAATTATGCAGCGTAGTATGACACGATAATGGTAAGAGAATAATCAGACAGTATAAATGTGCATAAAAATAACAACAAATGCCACTGAATTAGCTGCTACTGGTGTTATGCAATTATAATAAAAGTAATAATAAAAAAAATAGCGAATGTAATTGAATTCACTGATCAGGTAAAATTTATATATTTGGTTTTGGTTCACATTATAAGCATAAGGATTAGTGATATAATTTGATTGCACAAATCAAAGTGGGGAGGTGATTTGAAGCCACGATTTGATAACTGAAAGTCGAGTGCTTTAACTTCTGAGCTACCGATTGAATTTAGTTTATCTATAAACTTTTTTTCATTAATAAGTGATATTTTGGAAGTGCGGTAACACAATATTAACATATTAATTATTTAGACCTGTTTGTTACCCTTTATGGAGCGTAGGTCAGCCAGGGATCTCCATACAACCCTGTACTGCACTCACATTCCTAGTTTTCGCTAAGTAGTACTAATACTCCTGACGCTTGCTTCCGAATTCCAGAGTTATGTGTCTTGAGAATTTTAAGCTAAGGGTTGTCTTGTAATCCAGTCTAGTGGTTTTTGGGTAGTGTTTTCCTCACTTTCACTATCTTCTAATTCCTTTTTCAACAGAAGCCTAGTTTGTTCTCCGATATGGCAGGTCACTCCTGATGATCTCTTGCCAATGAATCTAGAGTATCTTGTGCAGACAAGTATTTATAAGTACTCGCACTGTTTTGATGGTGGTACTTCTTAGTTTAAGCTTCATACAACAGCACTGTTTTAACGTCAGTGTTGAAAATCATAACTTTGGTCATTTATGACAGCTCTCTTAAGTTCCAGATATTCTTCGATTGCAAGAATGCTGCCTTTGTTTTTCCAGCTCGTGCCTCCACATCGACATTACATCCTACATGTTTATCGATGAAGTGTCCCACGTACGTAAAGGCTTCTGTCTCTTCATGAGTTTCTCCATCAATTGTGATTTGACCATTACTTACTAATGTATTTTAGAATCTTGCTTTTTCCCTCGTACATACTAAGATTTACTGCTGCGGAAGCCGATGCTACACCGAGGGTTTTGATCTGGATTTGTTGCAGTATGTGAGATAGAAGTAAGTTATCTGCTAAATCCAAGTCGTCTGGCTGCATTTTACGTGTCCACTGCATTCCTATAATTTTATTGAGGCGTGGAGATCTTTATAATGCATTCAACGATCAGAAGAGAAAAGGTGAAAACAGGTGGCCTTGTTTAAAAACAGTTCTAATTAGCAACGCATCAGTGAGTTGCCATCCATGCACAACCCTGCAATTCAGTTCGTCCTTGGAGTTTCGAGTGGTGGTTTTTTTAAGCACTCCAGTGTTGAAGATTGTACAAGTCCTTCCTATTCACAGAGTTGAACCCTTTTCATGATCTAGGAAGCTGACGTAAAGTGACACGTTCCATCCGACTACTTCTCCAACAATGATAGCAGTGTCGCGATTCACTCAGTACATGATTGACCCTTAAAAAAGCCAGCATTTTAATTTCGAATCTGGGTGTCTGTCAAACCTTTCAATCGGTTCAGCGACGCTGCCAAAAACTTCTAGTACTAGAAGTAATATGACACCTCTGTTATTCTCAAGATCACCAATAGCTGATTACGTCACTCTATATTGATGATATGTTTGCTTTAAAGCCTGTTGGTACTTGTTCTTTCAGCCAAATCCTGCAGAACAGAATGTAGGAAATCTCTGGCGTCATTTCTAAATACCTAGTAATTATGACTTGCCATTCTTGATTAATCTAAGCTTTGCTAATTTCTTATATAGTTAGTTTGCACATCCAAAGTACAGTATGTTTGCTTCTCAGCATGACGCACTTCTAAGGTTACTGCTGGTTTAAAGCTCGGGTAAAGAAGGAGGGTTAGGCATGTGGTCAACAACTTCGTCCAGTAGAAAACAAAATTACTAAATAAAACGCTAACCAGAAAAAATCGTTCAAAAAATCTAAACTCAAGCCCGAGAGTTGAAGAATCTTCATTTAGAAGAATTATGACGACTCACGGTGAAAGACGAGATTCTTTGGAAGTCACGAAACGATGTCCCTTTTAAAAACCAGAGAAACAATTAATATAGGTACATGGAATGTTCGAACAATGCGGAAGACCGGGAGGACTACTCATATAGCTGTGGAAATGACGAGATACAACCTGCTGATGCTCGGAATGAGTGAAACCCATTATACATAGAACATCTTCGCAGTTACTTCTATGTCTGACTTCAGTGATCCAGCTAGTATGTTTCTATGAGTAGATTTTGTAAGCCTTGGAACATGTCGCTGAAACTGAAAGTACTGGGTTCGAGCCCCGCTTGTGGTATTATGGATGCGAATTGCCGAGTAGTCCCATACTAGAATGAAACGGCCGCCCAGTGCTTCAAGGTTTCCAATGGTAGTTTGGCACAATTCCACCCCACAAATATATACGCAAAGCTACATGGGTTTCACCGGACCACACCACAGAGAACCAGATCGACCATACCTGTACAAATAAAAAGTTCAGAAGGTTCATAGAAGACGTGTTAACAAAGAGGATAGTTAATATAGCTTCAGATCTTTACCTGATTGTGACCGAAATGAGACTGAAGTTAAAGAAGCACTGGAAAACTACTGGAGAAACAGACTTACAACCGTTTAGTACTGTCTTCGTTCGAGATACTCACAAACTCAACGAATTCGAAATAGATCTCAGTAACAGGTTTCAAGTTCTTCAACATCCACTCAAAGAAACATAGAAGCTGAAGTACTGAAGTCAAACATAGAATTAACTACAAAGATGTTCCACGTTCTATTCAGGAAGATTTGGAAGGAGGAACAAGTGTCGACAGACTGGAAAGAACGTTACTTGATTAAGATACCAGAGAAAGGTGATCTGAGCAAGTGTGAGAACTGCAATGGCATCACATTAATATCAATACCAGAAAACGATAACAACAGAATGTTGCTGAACCGAAGAAAAGTTCAGCAGATGCCCAACTTCGAGATCAACAGACTGAATTCCTTGAGGATCAGTTGTGCACAAACCAACTCGTGACACTACGGATCATTATTGAGCAATCAATCGAATGGAATTCATTGTCATACATCACTTGCCTTGAATATGAGAAAGTGTTTGACCACGTGAATAGAAGAACCCTATTGAACGTTCTTCAACACTATGATGTACCTGATAAGATCGTCAACATCATCCGGAATTCATACGACGGACTACACTGCAAAGTCGTACATGGAAGACAGCTGACAGATGCATTCCAAGTGTGGATCGGTGTCCAACAAGACTGCTTACTCTCTCCTTTTCTCTTTCTTCCGGTGGTTGAAGGATCACGAAGACCTCTACATCTCAGGGGAAGCACGGAATGCAATGGAGAGCTTGAATGCAGCTAGATGATTTGAACTTTGCAGACGACCTAGCTGCTCTATCTCATACACAGCAACCGATGGAGGTGAAGACAACCAATGTAGTAGAAGCCTCTACATCAATAGGCCTCAACATTCACAAGGTAAAAAACAAGATCCTCAAATACAACAAAGAGGGCATCAGTCAAGCTGTGGAAGAGGTAGAAAGTGGTAAGTAATTGTGCAGGATCATTGATGAACAATGAGGATCTGTTGCATATGTGAAGGCAAGAATTGACAAGGCAAGTGCAGCATCCATACAACTGAAGAATATAAGATATGGTAATCGAGATGACTGTCAGCCAACATCAGTCAGCATTTTGATTACAAACGTGGAGATAGTTCTAGTGTACGGAGCTGAAACATGTAGGGCTACTACAACTATATTACAAAAAGGTACAGTTATCTATACAAAGTTGTGTACGTAGGGTACTTAGTGTCAGTTGGTCGGGTAGCATTAGTAATACCCTACTTTAGAAGAGACCAAACCTTCTTTACTTGGGCTCTGGACAGCAGAAATCTTGTCAGGGCTCCAGGAAGGGTTAATAGCATATTGACTAATAAACCATTGAAGATAAAACCTCTTTGGTCAAAATAAAGTGGTTGAACGTTGGGTCAGATGAAGGATTTTTGCGCGGAGAAAAATTAAACTTTATGAAAGAATAAAAGGGTAACGAATATATGGCTTCCCTGAAATTGACGTGTGAACAAAACAGTTATATCACTCCTCCATATAATTTCAGTGATGAGATAAAGTACTGAGGTTTATTATATTTACGAAAGTGAATTTGGGGATAAATGTTACATACTTTTTGAGCGACAACGCGATTTTTCAGATTCAGAAAGTACTTTAAGTACACTTTAGATAAGAAGATCACTCCTGATATTGATGTTTAACTAGAGAAAATAAATTATGATTGGTCACTGAGTGCAGATTAACAGGTGTTCAGCTTACTGACTATTTAATTTTATTTCCGTCCTACTGTTGATTCCTACTTTGGACTTAATGAGTGCAAAGTGGTTGTAATTGTGTTGAGTAACGTACTGTCTAGTCTATACTCTGGTTCTCTATATTTGGTCATGAGTCGCGCATTTGATACCATGTGACCCCACAGTGTGAAGTGTATCGATCAAGTGCCCAGTCTGGTGATGATATAGTCTGGGTTACTGGCAGTATCGTCGTATGTTGATAGTAAAGATCGACAAACAATATTTCCATTTTGCCGTTATATCAACTAGGGGGAGGAATATTTTCACATCTGATGTTATCAAATACAGTCAAGATACGCTTTATTCTTAATCAATCAGAGTACTAGTCACAAGTTCTTTTGCTGATAAGGGTAAGAAATACGGATACATATGATTATCAGTACTAGTCCTATTCGTGTACTACTCTAACACTTGAGAAAAAGTTTGCTTATTTTCCAAACCTCAGAATTTATAAGATTTAAAGTGGTCTGTATTTTCTACTTTTTAATTTGTTTTATTTTTGCAGATACATTTTAGGTGTTTAGCTTTTCCCTCTCTTTGTCTTTTATTTTGATACTTTTGTCTTTTGTTGCACGGATGCAAGATTTAGATAGCTAGAACTAGTGCACATTTATGCTAGGTATAAACTTATTCACAGTAAGTAGTTAAATAAACATAAAACAGAACAAGTAATAGAATACTGATGACACCAGGAAAATAAGTTTTGAAACACAAACACTGTATTGATTATTAGTGGGAGGGAAGGGAAAAAGCTACATATAAGCCACAAATGTTAGCAGTATTCAGTGTGGATTAGGGTGATGAATTTACCGTTTGAGGGATTTCATCTGTAGGTGGTGCAATCTGAACTTTTTTTTCTGATGAACTTGAAGTAGGCAAGCAAGTAGAACAGAAACGAAACATACTAGTCATTCGATTGGTACATTTCCTATGGCTGGTTGGAGACTAAAACAGGTTGTATGCAAAGTTTTTTAAAGATTAGCAAGCTTGAGTTATAAAGTGTAAATATCTAAAAACAACTGGTGAATTCACAAATGTATTTTCTATAAGGCAGTTGTTAATAAAATAGAATAAAATAGTCTGATAATGAAATATCCGAAATCCAGAATCAAAACTCTGCAAGTGCTTATTAAAGTTGATTGTCATCGATGTGGTTACTTTACAGATAATTGATGTGATCTGCACAGTATAAAAACTTTATGAATACCAGAAGCTTTCATCGTTTGAGTAACTAATATGTCGGTTGTTATGTAGATCGATTTGATAGACATACAAAAACACAATGAGTTGTCACATTCTTTTTGCCTGAAACTTGAAGCTCTTGCAGCCGATTTTGAATCATGAAACTTACCTTCCCTACACCTTAACAATACTAAATATTTTTATGTTGCACACCGCTGTGATTTCAAAAACGAAACATGCCACCGACCCGACAGTTTGTTTTACACAACTTAAAAATAAACTGCCAATAAATCCTTAACCGATAAATGTAGGTAGTGATATTCAAACTTTATACGGGATTTAAGGTTACCTGAAACTAAACCAAAGAATCCTAATCGGATTATAATACACTGAATGATTAAATATTCTATTTTTCACACCAATTTAGTGTCCAACAATAACTTTTGCTATAAATACAGAGATGCGTAGTATATTTTTTGGACCTAGATTTTCAAAGGCAAGCAAACGAGCACATTGCACACTTTATGTTTCAATCTCTAAGGTCACTTTGAGGATTGGTTAGTACAGATTGAAGATCCATAACAATTAATAGAAAATTAGCGAAATAGTCAAGACTAAAAACTTAAACTTAAAGTTCTATCAAAACAATCACCTTATTAATACAAGTTAGAATCGGGAACACATTATAATTAAAGTTCATTTGAAAAATTTCAATACTGACTTAAAATTACAATGTAACTTTACGTGAATGTGGAGTACAATGCAAGCATTATGATGAGTTGTATACCTATGAACTATTGAATCGTACCCTTCCATTTAAACAGAAACTCATAAAAATCCCCTGTTTCTAGTTAATACATGTTCATCACATTGAAGTAAATACAGATATAATGAAGTTCAACGAAAAAGTATAGATTCACGCATCCACCATACGGTTATAATAATTTCGAACAATAGGAACTGTAGTCAAGCTATATTAAGTAATGTCTCCATCCGTGAGTGTTCTTAGGTAACAGTTGTATGTTTATAATGCGGCTGGTCATATCATTTTTGGACTAATTTAGCAGATTTGGACCGTGGTGTGGCACTTCGTGGATTAGAAAGAACAAGACACTAAAAAAGAAGCGTTTTCACTTTAAGTTTGAGGTTCTCAGTTTGAGACTTTATCAACGCTTTCCCGTACCAATTATTTCATGTTATAACAAGGAAGCCAATCTACATGAACAGAATATCTAAGATACTAACTCCATTAAACATTCACAGAAATTGGCGACTTTCAGACAGACATTTGTAAATGAGATGTTAGAATAACTCATCAACCAAATAAAGATTACGTTAATGGGTTGTGGGGCACTGAGTAAGAAAACTATCGATGCTTCTCAGATATCTTAACTGAACTAGTTAAAATAAGTTAATGAGTGAGATTCTCTAACTAATCGCATCTCAAAATATACTCGCAGACTGTTAGAAAGATGTCTAGTTACTTTGAAACGAGAAAACGGATTTTGAGAATAAAGAAACTGAGACGAATGTAGATATGGAAATGTAACATAGTAACATATGACAAAGATAGACCTTAACATTGTGTGATTTTACTTAAAATAAACAGGGATCAAAGTTACAATTAGTATTTGAATAATACACTATAATGGTAAATTCGCTAATAAAATTCGCTCATTGAATGTGATTGAAGTTGCTGTCACTGTAGAACCAGAGTCAACTAAAGCCCCCTTCATCCATGCACTAGTACTTAAGTATGGATATTTGTAGGTAAATATGTATAAGCAGGAATGTATCGGTTGCCTTTAGAAATTAAGTTCGAATACCTTATAATGATTGTGTCAATTCACATCAATTGTAAGAAATTTAAATTATTTAGTGCAAACTGTGATAGACCAAATGACTATACACTCTAGTGAATGGAGCAGTATTCCAAAAAGTAGTTGATTAGTTGGAAGTAAATTGATCAAACTTCACCTATTTTTTTCATAAACCTATAATTTCGCGAGCAAAACAATTCTCATTCAAACCTTTTTACTTTAGACTTAATCATACTCCTAATTATCAGTTTTAGAAGTAGTCTAAAGCAGACTGTAGATTTCAATTACAAATTCACGTGAATAACTAAAACGAAAATTCTGGACGAAATCATGAAGTTTTTGCAAAAGGCCGCAATCAAATCCAGGTCAGAACATTAATTTCATGCCTATGTCCGAAAGTAAACGGCTGGAAGTAAACACAAGACGCGTGTTAACGTTAAAACAACTATGCACACAAAACTGTTAAATAAAAATGTTGCAGGTAAGTATTTTTCTTTAAGGTGAAAAGACAAGAAATAACCCTTACTTTGTAAGTTTTCGAAACATCCACTGTAGTCGACATTTGAAACGGGGTGCCTGTGGAGTCCATGGACTTGAGGATTTATAACAAATCCTTTCAGTATCCAATGTCTTTGTGGCGAGCTTGCGAAAATTATTCGTTTTGTGTGCAACTACCTTTTAAAGAATAAGAATATCCAGGATTTTTACTTAAACGATCAGTTGATAATGAAAACAAGTACTGAACTTGAATAATATATTAAATATGGAAATTAAGAGAGTATCTATTTACTCTTCTACCGCTGTAACTGATTTGAATGTGATGACAAATAAGAGTGATGTTAGAAGTTCAGAGTGTAATGAAGAAGTGTAAGAAGATGGACATGAGACTACCAAGTCAACTATATGAGTGAGTGGAAGCGTCTTAAGTGAGGCGGGAATCTTTAAGAAACCTCAACCCCTGACGCGCCACAAATCACCAGGGCCAGATTATTTTCATTCACCCCTTTTCAAAGACGATGGTGGAATTCTGGATGAGAAAGTGACTGAGATCTTCGCAAAGGTTTGGCGATTAGAGAGTGTTCCAAAACCACAGATAGTTGTCCACATATTTGAAAAGGGTTCACATAATTTCTGAAACATCTGGAGGATAAGTCTACATCCAATCTCGTCCAAATTTTTAGCTTCTGTCGTAAATAACAGATTGTTTAAAACCCGCGAACGATTAACTCGCGAGAGGCAGGCTGGTTTTTGTTCTAGTCGATCATGTATTGATCATATTTTCGCCCTCCGCCAAATGTAATAACACCATTATACTTAGTACAGGACAAGAATTGTAGCGCTTCTTGACGTTACAGCTGGGTTAGTTTCGTTGAACAGGACTGTTTTTTGGGGTTGTCTATTGAAATGTGTGTCTGAGTGATGTGTTGGCATCTTAAAAGTCCACACGATGAGTCAATTAGAGCAGTATTTCTCTATGCTTGTGAAACCTAGTCTCTCTGAGTTGAAGATGTCAGATAATTTTCAGTGTTTGATCATCGTTGCCTCCGAAAGATTGCTAACATCCAGTGGCAACATCATGTTGGTAATGCAAGGGCTCTGGATCGTGTGTTCAGGCACAGAGACGACGATTCAATTAGTGTCACTATCTCGAAACGTCTACTTTGATGGGTTGGATATGTCCTATGGATGTCGTCCTAGAGAATTCGACATCGAGCATTATTTGCCGATGCTGGGACTGATTGGTTACTTTATGACATGGTGTTGAGGTATGAAAGGAAGCTGTACAGGATTGGCTTCTGTCAGTCTTTCACGACTCCTGGTAGGTGTCCTAGAGATGACTCGACACAGTGGATTGAGACATTAACAAATATGTCTCAGAATGGAATGATTCTGCTGTAATTTGCTTTTACTTTCTTCACAAAAAGGGACGTGACGTCTTCAACTCAAAGAATCCTTTCTAGATATATTTTCGCTAACTGAACTTCTAATAATATTGTAAAATGTGATCGATAAATGAACCCACCACCAGTAAAGTGAAGCGCTCACCACCACACTAACTTTACTTGACCTTGTATGACCGTGTCTCATTTATTCACCAATCACAATTCGATGTTTATTATAAAACAATATTTGCCTTGTTGACTCGTTTTTCCAACTCTCTAGCTACTGTTCGGTACGTTATTTATGCCTTCATTTTTCCCTGTGTTTATAGACTGTACTTTTGTTTTGTACACTGTGTGAATTTACGTTTTGGAAACACATAAAGTTTATCGATCCAAGCTGCTTACTTGTTCTGACTTTGGCTGAACCAAGACCTTGTATTCGTCAGTCTAGGGATTAGCTTAGAATTGAATCTGTAGGAAACTGCTTCCTACAAATATTATACTCATCATTATTTGTTTCTGATAATTTAATTTCTATTTGCTGTTGTTCGCCTTTTCCTCATACGCGCTTTACATTATCTATCTCTATACAACCTCACTGTTACTGTGTGGCACGTATGTATTTGGTGTTCCCTTGTACCAATATGTTCAAATAAATAAATCAATTAAATGTGTACAATGATAATGAACTTATCTGAATTTCGTAGTGCGGTCTTTCGTGATCGCATGACTCACTTTGCCTGTCTTTCTGAGTTTGAATTTACCTACTATTTGTATATTAGATATTCATACTGTATGAAAAATCGAGCTGGAAGTCATAAAAAGTGATACTAATGATAGCATTACAGACCTCGGGATTTATAATATTAAAATATATCGATAAATGTCTTTAATGCCATGAATTTCGTTCTTGAATGTGTATTGACTGACCCATTTAGACTACTTGACTGATATAATCGATATAGCATAGTTGGCCCGTCATAATGTAACTGACTAATCCAATACAATCTTACGTCTTGATCATAATAACTTCAAACTTGACTAGCATCCAGGGCCAGGTAAGAGTAAGGATTCGTGATAATTTGGTTAACTGTTTACCATTCTTCACTGTTCTGATACGTACACGAAGTAGTTCTTCATGCACACTTGGCTCAGGTGCATGAAAAAATCGTATAGATTATTCCACAGGCCCTATGCACAGAATCAATGGCAGTCTGTGCAAAGGCAAGTGCGAACTACTAATTCCGTCATGCATCTAGGGTGCTTAGATGGAGTTTCCGTACATAAAGTTAGGCAGTCAGCAGTAGATAATTTTAGTTCATAAAAACTATGATTCTTTGCTTTTTACGCGGACAGATACCCAGCAAACTCTGTGAAATTTACGCAAGCAATTAAGAAAGAAAACAAGATTTCCACAGCAATAACGAAAACGGCAGTAATAATAAAACCATGACGTGAACAATAATTCAATAAGCACTTTAAAACAACACATATGTCATCGACAGCATGGACGTTAGAAGGTTTAATTTTTAAAAAACTACCCTACAAACTACATATTCCAAACTGTTTTGCTCCAACAAAGCCTTCATGTTTAGCTACTGGCCACAAAAATATCAGTAGCCGATAATGGAACCCATGTAGGGTGGCGTCGAGTTGAGATTAACTATAAACACCGCTACCAAAAAACACATGCCAGATAAATCCATAAAATCCCGAGAAGCCAAATATCGGAAGGCAGTTAATGGACCATATTGAGATATATATTTGCTGGCGATCTCGTGGTATCGAAAGGATAACGAGATCGTGTCAGGATACAAGCTTGGTTACAGAACGTAACCGAATTCGCGCGGTCACAATCAAAGTGTGTGAATAGTAATGGAAGCATAATATAGCTGCCATTAGCACAGTTAAATAAAGAGCACATTTAACAAGCACAGGCACAATCGGTTATAATAATAATAATTGTTTTCATTAAACCAATCGTGTTCTCGCGATAAAAGTGAGTCACTACACCCATTTCATGAAAAGAGTTTAACAGTTGGATCAATAATATTGGATGCCTTAATCTATTTACAGCTCCAAGACATCACCAGCCTGAAGGTTTAGCGGAAAATGTCATCCGGACTTGAACAGGTGCTATCACACTGTTGAGATCAATATCATATTGTAGAACGTCCGAGAACTCATGGTAGTTCAGCTGTACTCTTTAAAACTCCCATACTTTGAATTCACTTAGTAAACAAAATATCATCAAAAGTGCAGTTTTGATGATGAAATGACTACTAAGCATCTCACTTACTTATTCACACCTGTTACTCCCAACGGAGCATTGGCCGCCAACCAACATTCTCCAACTCGCTCTGTCCTGGTCTTTTCTTTCTAGTTCTGTCCAATTTGTAGCAGAAAGAGAACGAGGAAAACCCCTCCGCAGCATTTTTCTTGGACAGTACTGTCATTTATTTGCTTCTTCTCGCTGTCGTGTATTTTAACCTTTGTTCAGATCTCGTTTAACCACACCTTTTGTTCTTCAGTCTTCCTCGTCTGAACTTTTATTACTTGATTTTGATTTCAGACTTGTCTTTTGTTACCTGCTTTTCTATTGCATGTTGACGGGTTATTGACAGTAAAGTCGTTTGTGACTAAGCTCAAGGTCACGGCGTGATTCAGTGTGTGGCTGTTAACCTTTTGACTGTCTGCCTGGGAAGATTGCTGAAATCCCTGCAGATAGATATTTGATCCCATTTTGTCGGGAACATTTTATTGATTCTCAGGTATCGAACCCTTTGGTTTTAATTTTGCTTTTATTGTTTAGCGCGCTACTTTGCGTTAGAGAAATTTCTGACTGTATAGCACAGGCTGTACTGTTTGAGGTATTTTGTATTTTTGATATACTTTGTTTTATTTTGTAAATTAGGACCGTTTATATTGAGCACAGATTTTGCGTTTTGATATAATATAATACGAGTATCTCATAAAAGCGTTGTACGCTATAAAGAGGAACGTGGTGTGGTCTAATCGAATAAATTTTGGTTCGACAGTCCGGCGTTCCAACCGAACACTGATTGTTCGGTCGTTACACAATTGTTGTTCATTTTTCCTATGTCTGACTCTATTTCTCGGCCTAATGTGTTCATTGGTCTTCCTCTTCTCCTTTGGCTTTCAGGATTACATGTGAGGGTCTTGCCTTGTGACGTGGTTGGGTGCTTTCCTCAATGTGTGTCCTATCCACTTCCAGCCCTTTTTCCTGATTTCCTCCTCCACTAAAATCCGGTTTGTTCTCTACCACAGTAGGTTGTCGCAGATAGTGTCTGGCCAACGGATCTGAAGTATTTTGCGTAGACAACTGTTAATAAACACTTGTATCTTCTGGATGATGACTTTCGTATTTCTCTAGGTTTCCACCCCATACAGTAGAACTCTCTTGACAGTTATATTAAAAATTCTGACCTTGATGTCGGTTGCCAATTGTCTTGAGTTCCAGATGTTCTTCACTTGTAAATATGCTGCTCTAGCTTTACCGATTCACGCCTTCACATATGAATCAGATCCAACGTGTTCACCAAAGGTTTTTAAATATTCCAAATCTTCTCCGTCAATTGTGACTGCATTGGTGCATGGTATGCTGTATCAGGGAATCTTGCTTTTCCCTTTGTGTATATTGAGACCTACTGCTTCTGAGGCTGCTACCACACTGTTCATCTTCTCCTGCATTTGTTGTTGCGTGTGCGATAGGAGGGTCAGATCATCTGCGAAGTCCAGATCGTCCGGCTGCATCCTAGATGTCCATTGTATCCCGTGCTTCCCCTCAGATGTTGACGTCTTCATGATCCAGTCGACCATCAGGAGAAAGAAAAAGGGTGAGAGTAAGCAACCTTGCCTGACATCGGTCTTTACCTCGAACGAGTTTGTCAACTGTTCTCCATGCACGACTTTGCAGCTTTATCCATCATAGTAATTCCGTATGATATTGACTATCTTCTGAGGCATGCCGTAGTATCGAAGATACTTCCATAGTGTTGTTCTGTCCACGCTGTCAAATGGTTTTCCGTAGCCACTGAAGTTGATGTAGAGTGATGAATTCCATTCAATTGATTGTTCCACAATGATCCGTAGAGTTGCTATTTGGTCTGTACAGGATCTATCCTTATGGAATCCTGCCCGTTGGTTTTGAAGTTGGGCGTCTACGTAATTCTTCATCCTGTTTAACAATACCCTGTTTAAGACGTTTCCTGGTATTTAGAGAAGAGTGATGCCCCTGTAGTTATCACACTTACTGAGATCGTCTTTCTTTGGTATTTTGACCAGAAATCCTTCTTTGCAGTCTGTTGGTACTTGTTCCTTATCCCAAATCTTATTGAAGATAATGTGGAGTATCTGCAGAATTATGGTCCAATTTGATATTAGTACTGCTCTATTAATAGATCTAATCCTAAAATCGTAGATTTGTCATGATATACCTGCCTAATCTATCGGATCTTACGTGAATATTACGTCATCGTCTATATCAACTCATTGCATCGTAACAATTACCAAAACATGATGGAGAACAAGCCTAGGCTAGAGATAGAACAATATATTTAATATGAATAAAAGATATTAGATAACATTCAACAAGGACCACGCCTGCAAGGCCCAGCCATGCCAATCGATCAACTTCAGTTAATTCAACTCCTTGTTCCCGCCTTCTCCACCATTAGGTATTTCTCCGCGTTGAATATTGAATATCTATTTTCCGAGTACTCTCGTGTTCAGCTTTGAAGATTGTGTGGTTATGGTCCAATGCCACTACATATCTTTGCAGTTACCGCTACGCCTACTTTCAGTGCCTCTGCTGGAATGTTATCTGGTCCTGCTGCTTTGCTGATCTTGATTTGTCTGGTGACCATGCTGATCTATTCAATTGTTGGTGAGCCTAAATCGATTGGGAGGTCCGTGTGTGCCACTTTGATGCTGGATGGGTTCAGTAGGGCTGGTCGTTTCAAGAGTTCTTTGAAATATTCTGCCCACCTGTTTTGTTGCTCTTCAATGTTGGTGATTACCTCGCCTTCCTTGCTTTTCACTTTTCGTTCTGGTTTGTGGCGATTTCCAGAGAGTTTCTTTGTCGTGTCATACAGTTGTCTCATGTTTCCTTCTCTTGTAGCCTTTTCCGCCGTCGTTGCTAAATCTTCCACATATTTACGTTTGTCGGTTCGGATGCTCCGCTTCACCTGTTTGTTTACTTCTGTGTATTCAGCTTGTGCCTTGGCTTTTTCTGCTCTTGTTCGGCTGGTATTGATTGCTGCCTTCTTGTTCCTCCTTTCTTGAATCTTATCCAGTGTATCAACAGTGATCCATTCCTTGTGATGGTGCTTCTTGTGACCCAGGACCTCATGACATGTTGAAGTGATTGCCTCTTTGATCCCCTTCCAGTTGCTCTCCACAGTAGTTCCTTCTCCATTGAGTAGACCATGAAAGACCTGGAACTCGTTGCTGAGGTCTATCTTGAATTTGTTGAAATTGTCAGTATCTCGAAGACAAGTCCTAATAAACTTCTGTGATGTTGTCCCTCCGTTGTCCAGTGCATCTTGAGCTTCAAGTTCATCTTGGCGACTAGCAGATGATGATCTGATACTGTATCAGCTCCTCTCTTGGTTCTCACACCCTCCATCGCCGTCTTGAACTTTTTGTTGATACAGAGACGGTCGACTGGGTTCTGTGTAGTGTAATTCGGTGAAGTCCATGTGGTTTTATGTATGCGTTTATGTGGGGATATAGTGCCGCTTATGACCAGTTTATTGAAGGCACATAGATTTGCAAATTTCTCATCATTTTCGTTCCTTTCTCTCAGTCCGTGTCGTCCCATGATGTCTTCATATCCAGTGTTGTCCGTTCCAACCTTGGCATTTAAATCTCCTATCAGAATGGTCAGGTCCTTTGTTGGGCACTTTTCGACGATTGACTGCAGCCTATCGTAGAATTGATCTTTAGCGTCTTCATTGTAGTCCTTAGTAGGAGCATAGCATTGGATGATGTTCATTGAAATGCCCACTTTCTTTGTTTTGATGATCCTTTGTCCACGAGATTCCCATCCTATATGTGCATTTTGTGCTTATTTGGACAGCATCAATGCAGCTTCTTGTGTATGTGGGGAAATTTCTTCTTGCGATTGGTTCCCTTTATTTCAATTTCTTCTTCATGGCCGGAGTATAACAGAAGCTTCCCTGAAGCTAGTCGTTGTTGTCCAACTTGCGTCCAATGTGTTTCACTGAACCCAAGCACCTCTAGGTTTTATCTCCTCATTTCTGCAACAATTTGGAAGACTCTCCCAGTCTCCCTCATTGTACGAGCATTCGGTGTACCTACATTAATGGTTACTCTGGTTGTCAGGAGGTGCATCAACCTCGTGGCTTCCAAAGGAACTTGACTTTCACTATGAGGCGTCATAACTCTTCTAAATGAAGACCTTCTGACTCCCACGGTAGAGTTTAAATGGTTTGAATAATTTTTTCTGGGTAACGTTTTTTTAACGAGTTATTTTTCTACGCGATAGGATAGCTAACTCAATGCCCGACCCCCCACCTTTATCCCGGCTTGGGGTCGGCAGTAGCCTCCGTGGGGACCCCAGACGGAGTTACCAACCATCTAAGGGGAATTATAATTCAAAGAATAGGTAGTCAGATGGCAAAGATTTATGATTTAAATGGTCAATCAGTTCAAAGCATATATATATATATATTTCTATTTATGTTTATATAACAAATTTCAGACAGATGAAGAAAATGGGGATCAGAATGCTGAACAACTGAGATTTAACATATTTGCAAACAAATCCAGGTCACATTATCGGCACATAGACACAACCAACGTGTAGCAGTTATGCTGAATAACTAATACATTTACTGTATAGCTCAATATTTTGTTTTTCATTCAAAGCTATAATTACAATACAATACAATCTCATACTGCTTACTTCGAATTTGAGTTTTTCTGTAGTGTCTTGTTGGTGTTCTAGACTTATTGGAATTAGTTCTATTTCGCTATATTATATGTACAGTCGGACAAACATATGATGGACCTGAGAAGACATACAATAGATTTATGGAAATCGAATTCCCAGTTAAGCTAAGGTGGTTGTGGTATTTGTACCAACTGGTGATTCCTTTGAACTTGATTTCACTCTGATCACGAATTTCAAATATAATACTTTCATTTGTGCTCATCTACTTCTACCTTTCTCAAACTGCACTACTTCGGGAGTTTTCAGCGCATTAGTTCGAATGCTTCTAATTATCATATTATTCTACGATAATTTTAATCTCCTTAATGGTCCACATACTCATGCATGTTAACATGAAGTATTTAAATGTTAACACTCCAGCCTGAAGGTGAACGCCAAAACATTGAATTTATAAACGAAAATCCTACACTTTTTTGTAAAACCTCATCAGATTACCAATATAGTTGACTATGATCACCACTACAGGAAGACTACGTGCCAGTTAACCGACAAGGTCCCTCGTAAGCCAAATGCCAGAAGGCAGTTGATGGCTGTAGTCGAGATATATTCGTAAGCGATCTCGTGGTATCGAAAGAATACCGAGATCGTGCCAAAGAAGTACAAGTGGGGTTACTGAACGTAACCGGGAATTCCTTCAAGGTCACAATCCACGGGAGAATGTATGTATTTTGGTACAGTTAAACAAACAAGTACGGTAAAACAATACCTGGTACAATTGGTTATAATAATAATTGTTTCCATTGCACCAATCGCGTTATCTTGATAAAAGTAGGTCACTACAGTACAATCATATTTAAAGAATCAAATGAAATACATACTAGGTATTGAGAATGTTTCAGTCAGTCAACTCTAACCTTTATACCGAAAGCAAATGATTAATTCATTCTATTTATATTGGATTTGACAATAAAGTGAATATGTTTCTTCACTATTGGTTTGTCAAGACCAACTAAAAGAAAACAAAATATAAGGTTCAAGTCATTTGAGAAAATACACTGTTTATTTCTTAACAATAAGCATAAAAGCATTTTCAGTTTAAGTTATTCAGAATATGGTCACAAGTTTTCAGCGCTCAAGTTTCTAATTTTCGCGTCGTTATGCAGACTTCAAAAGTTTTTGTATCCCAGTTCAGCCTATTGAGTTTTCCAATTTCTTTTGATCTTTGGGTAACTGGTTGTGATATTCATATATGATCAATACACCTTCAGGTTGACAACAACTTAGGAATTCGTCAAAAATAATCCATTTATTGAATCCTGTTCATCGCTGACAATGAATACCTTTCATATCTGACAATATTTTGTCAGTAGAATATTCTGTTTATGGAGTTGATTTATTCTTCTGAACTCACCTATTCATAAATAAAATTTCAAATTGTCTCAACCAACAGACGCTAATCCAGGTTCCATTTTACTCATTACAACAGACAAAAATAATACTATTTAAATCATGTTCAGTTGCATTCATCTTTCAAGCTATATAGTATCGTTTACGATGATAACTGAGCAAGTAAATCATAGTTTTCCAATGAATAATTCAAGTTATTATTCCAACCAAAACGATTGCCGGGTTTTTTTCACCACATGTTTGATACAGTACATTGGCTCATACAGCCTCTTAATAAAATGGTTTGCCCATCTCTAAGATAGAGACAAATAGCGAGGAGGGTCAGTCATACGTTTCAATTAAGGTTAGACGATCAAAGCAAGAAATGAAGATGAGGTTACAAAATTAAAAAAAGAAAGATGAAGGAGTAATTTTATATTATGAAACTTGATTACGTTTCACATTGCTTCAACGTATTACCAGTTCGATCTACTTGGCATCAACATAATGGCTTAATGATGTAATGACAAGTGCCTTATGGTTTATTCATTAAACACAGGTTCTGTCACTTTGCTTAACTTCGTTAATCCCTGTAGTACTATGATTATAATTCCATAATTCTATTTCTTCTGAATTGTTGTCAATCGTGAAATTTTGTTGTTCCAGTGATTGTGAATTTTGTTGATGTTCCGGGGGTTGTTGACGATACTCTCTTCTTGACAAACGTGTTCTCATTGTTTCATCACTCATCAAACTAACTTTTGTACGAATCATAACTGGTATAGCGATTACAATGATTGCAACGGAATTTCCCAACATATGATAGGCGAACAAATTTGCTGCTGCCGGTATACTCTGTTTAGCTTGCTGATCCCATTCTGGCATCCATGATGTTTTAGGATATAGAACAGCTCCAACCTACAGTGATAATAAAATAACAACAATGATTTACAAAATTTATATATATCTTTCCACTTTCTGTAAATTAGTTATCTAGCGAGAAATTTGGAAGGTGTTATAAACATTATGTTTAGAAAACGATATTTAGCTGAGTACTGAAAGGTTTGGGTTATATTCATGAGAAAGGGAGGCAGACCATTGGTATACACTCGTGAGGAGTACCAAAGTAGTCCGAAAAATCGTTTTTCTATATTTCTAACTACCAGCGGCTGTCAACCTAAAGCCAGTTCATAATCCCAATTGTTTTCAGACTGAACACTCTTCATAGAAACTTTCATCCTTAAAGATGAAATTTCTCCACCTATTCCCCCCTAATTTGATTAGGAAGTTTTTCAATGTTTCGTAAAACCATTAGTCAATCAAAGTAAAATTCACTTAGAATATTTTCCGCCTTTACTAAAATTTTGTAACATAAGTAATGAAATTTTGATAAATCCAATTACCATTAATTCCAAAATCGAATTAAAGTACGACTCGTGGTAAATTGGTCTTAATTACCGTTCCACTGAAAACGTAAGAGGACTAGATATCTATTTTTTCCTAGTATGGGACTCCTTAGAGTTACACGTTCACAACCCAGGACATTTAGATCTCTTGGCAAGCTCTTAACAATTCACCGACTGTATTCAATAATCATTGTAATACAACGGTTAACGACTTCTGTTTTACTCTTAACCCCAAATGAGTTAAATCTGTTGTCTGAACATTTATATTTCAATAAATACTAATCATATAAACACGCACTATATAAACACATTATTGACTAGCAACCATGTTCATTTATTCTACATCTTTTATTGTTCTCTTAAAAGATAAAATCTTTAAAAAATTAGTGAGTATAGAGTTCAAATTAGAATGAATACAAAAATAGCTATACACAGTTAAAATTTCATTGTAAGACATCTACATAAACTAAATAATGGATATAGCTTACATTATTCTTCTAACCTCGATAGAAATGTCCTCATTCATGTACAAATTTGAGTAATTGATTTGCTTAAAAACATTTTGATTGTAAAATGTTGTATTTATTTATTATTTATGTTACTAACACAAATTGATCAGTCTCTTTTGATATATGTGTATCCTATCCTGATTGTTTTGATATGAGATGAAACACATTTTGAATTCCACTACAAGACACTATTCAATTGTACTAAAAAAATTACATGGGGAAATTTCAAGATTTTGAAGGACTGTCTGATAATGAATCAATTAGCAAACAAACATATACACGTTGGATAATGATTCAGTAAAATGTTGGATCTACAACACATGCAAACTAGATCAAAACATTTTACAAAGGTAATTTGTTTACTGATTATAATTCCTTTCATTTAATTAAAAATGGGAGACTTATAATTTAGCTATAACTCAGACATAATGCAATTCTTCAGAGAAATAACCACAATAAATGAAAAACTTCCTTGAACCTTCACTCTGTCAACGTGGACAAATAACGCAGTATTTGCAAAAATTATATCAATTATATCAATCATTGTGAATTCTTAAACTAATTGCCCGATATATTCAGTTTGTCAAACAAAATATATCCCTTATCCCGTCATAACTTGTCCATCATTTCTATACGAATTATCAGTAGTGTTCAAGGGATATTAAATCACTGTGATCTATTTTGTTGTATGTGAACTGCTGAATAACTTTGAATTATGAGCACTTAAAGCTTTCATTCATTGATTTCTAGCATATTAAATATCAGTAATGAAGCCTGTATAATACAGACCATTCGTTAATAACTTTAGTGATTGATGATTGGGTTAAATATAGCTATTTTCGCTTTTTGTAACCTAAGAATATACTAGTCACCACACATTTTGAAACGTGTGGGATGGTATATATACTAGAATGCTTAACCGTTTAGTTAGTTTCTTAAAAAAATCTAAAAACAGTTTTTCCCATTTAGAAACTTCAACAAAAACAGAGAATAGATTATGTAATATAGGTTAGTTGAGTAAAGCTCAAAAGTATTGATTAAGATACCAGGAATTTTATAGGAAAATCTCCTACGTAATAATCTCACAGAAAAGGTCACTAGGGGAAAATAAGATAGATAAATGTTTCTTTTTGAATACATAAATTCGGTTTTAATCTTTTTATTGTAACAGCTTCAATAAAGCGTAACAGTTTTGAATTCCTTTGCTTACTGTTAGGATAGTCGATCGATAAAACACTGCTTATCAAAACCTGCAAGTCACTCACACGTTACAACACTTACTGATGATTTTTAAGAATTTTGAAACTTTAACATCATGCTCACTGTCAACCAACTGACTATCAATAGCGTTATTGAAACGTATCTGTCCGTTAAATCCCAGCTTTTGTGGAATATTTTCGGAGATTCAGACCAAACCAAATGGTCACTGCAACAATCAAATGTGGACAATTACCCAACTTATATTACCTCCAATTGTTTATCAGCTTACATGGATGAATCACATCTATTGGAAGAACATAAGAGGAAGTTAGTTTCCAGATGTCCAGACATAATCCACAAAAGCTGGGACTTAACGGGCAGATGCTTTTCAATAACGCAGTTGATCGTCAGTTGCTCGACAGTGGACATGTTAAAGGTTTAAACCTTTTGAAAATCGTCAGTAAGCAAAGGAATCTAAAACTATTGCGCATCAAGGTTATCAGTTCCTGGTATACAATGTCATAAATAAACAAACTTATGCTCTTGTACTAAAATCGATTGCCTGAATTGAGGCACAATAACTGGGATATAAGAACAGAATCTATAATCATACTAGAAATAAAAGAAGTATGGTGTAAGTAAGGAGCCATCTATTCGATATACTTTGCTTTTAAGAATGTGATAATCTAAACACCATATTGCAACAGAATTTACTGAAATCCAGAAAGCGCACTTTATCTTATTCAGAAATAATCATCTAAGTGTTTATGTTTTTCTGAAATCCCTGTTATCTAGAACGTTTTATGTTTAATCAGCTAATGAGCTGATTGTAAGTTTTGCTAGTCCAAATATTGAGAGTGTAAAAACAAAAATCATCGAGAAGTTAGTATGATTAGCATTCACGAAAACGTAAACTGATTATTATGGACATAGAGAATTCAAGAAAATCTTCCAGTTTTTAGCTTACATGAAGGACAGATTTTAGTTCGATAACTATTGGGAACTAAGAATCACTGGGCAGCAATTTCATTCTAGTATGGGAAGTTTTATCAGTGCTCATCCACGACTTCATCAGTCATCGAACCAAGAATAGTAGCTAGTAAAGCTTAATTATATCGAGTTGGGAGGTGGATATCAGTAATGAAGGGATAGTTGATTGCATTGTCAAATAATCTCATACTAGGAGGGGAAAGCTCTCAAGCGCTTCTTGGTTTCCGCTGATTACCCAAATAAAAACATTATCTAATGTAAACTACGAAGAGACATTAATTCTGTTCTGTCAAATTAACAACACAAATATACGCGCGAAACTGAAAGTTTATAATTATGTTCTGAAATAAAATGCTACCGTAGATTTGCATCACAACAGTGTGCTGTACTAATCAATTAATCAATATTGCTTAATTAAAGTCACCAAGGTAACATTATTTATCATTAACAAAAATAATTGTTAATAAAGTAACGGTTTATTCATTTGAATTAGAAATTTATTCGATTATACAGAATTATATTTTATACAATGAACATGCAAATCTTGAAATGAAACATGAATTTAATACATCAAGTTAAGTTCTAAATTAGTATTATGAATGAGTTGTTTGTTAAGTTGGTTTTGAAATTAGGCAAACAGTTCCAACGAGGATCAAGATATATATATTATGTCATTCATAGAAGAACACAGGTTAAGCATCAGTGTGTAGACCATATTACATTTTTATTTTACGTCAATCACACTAATTACTACTCATTATTACGGTACAAGCTAACGTTAATGAACAGTTGTAAAATTATTGTCTCAAAATCTTAATTACAATATGAGAAAAATTGTCCCATGTACTTTTTATTATTGAAATGTAAAACTGACATAATTATATACATCAAATAGGAGACCAAAACATATCGTCAATGAGAAATTACACTTTGTAGTAAACTAGGTCTTTTGTGATGTAGAACTAATTGAGATGATTATGGATATTTAACTGTAATTCATTAATAGTAAAGGATTTTTCAACAGTTATTATATTAAATAAAAACTTATATTCAGGGTAATAGTGAGTTATTGGTGGATAGTATTCACGTTTAGATTTTGTTACTGTCTATTACTCTAACACTTGAATAATTCAATAACCGGATAGGAAATAAGCTGATCTTTCAAATCAAAGATTGATTACTGAATCCTGTTGGGAATAACAGTGGAGATGAATAATTGCATTCATGCCCTAGTTGCAATTCATATACATTATTCTCTACGAGGAATCACAGAATGAATGGAACAAGTGACTATAAAGATCACAAAGGTCAAGGAATAAACTTGTGGTGACTTATCAGTTGTATCTTATAATGCTTTAATAAATGTTCACAATTCCATAGATTGAGAAGTCTCAGAAATGATGTTAGATAGGATTTTCCGTGATGTAACACTGATAAGTTAATTAGGCGAGACTATAATTTATGAACGAACCAATCAAATATAAAATAAAAGGTCTCGAATTTTGGAGCAAATTCACTCATCCATTTGATTAAATAGAGTTTTGGCATTATAGCTGATGTCAGTTCGTGATGAAAACCCTAAATCTAATTCCTAACCGTAACCATCAACTGTAAATCATAATCCTTACTCTCCATACTACTTTATAATCATCATATAGCCCTAATAAGTAGGGCTATATTCCCGAAATTACTTTAGCGTCTCTCAAAGGTCGTCCATAAATTATAGTCCCACTGTTAATTGTTTACTAAGTTACATGAAAACTAACAGGCTAAAAGTTTAGCATGTGGATGATCCATTCAGAATCCAGAAAACGCCTGAATTTATATAGCTGAATTGAAAAACAACCAACCTTTATCTTATATCTTATGAAGCGAGAAGTAGAACTATTATTGTTCAGTGTTTAATATGTGTAAGTGTTAAGGAAGAACTGTTTTATTATATAATAGAGTAAAGAGGATAGTACCAAACGCATTAAACGTTCACTTATTCCCATGTAGACTGTATATAACATGCAAATAAACTCTGTCACTAAATTCTCATCTTAAACCCTTAATCCTGACTTAAAGCACAACCGTAAACCCGTAATTTCCAGACTAAACCCTCACCCTAAATATTTAATCCTAAACTCTAAACTTTTAATCCTCACCCTATATATCCAACCCTAAATCTTTAAGACTAACCAGGATCATTGTGAGAACTGCTAAAAATCTGTTGGCAAAGACGGATAATTTAAATTATTATGAACGAATTTATATGTGACGATTTCCTTGATTTACAGATAGAACAGACTGTAGGAGAAAGGCTTCCAAAGTTTCACTACTTCAGTAAAATTTGCTTGACTATCGTAATATTATTGTTTATTTTCCACAAATTAATCATTTAGAAAAGCTATCTTCTGACTGATTCACAACTGGTCATTTCGATGTTGTATTATCATCCTCAATTAAAAAACTGTTAAACTTTTTCACTCGCAAATTATTTTCTTAAACGTCGTGAGTATGAAAGCTATCTAGGATCTTTAGCAATAAAATTTATATGTTTCGAACAAATGAGAGGCTATCTAGACTCAATAGCTCAATGGATAGTGTGTTGTAATTCGAAACTAAAGATACTGGGTAAGGATCTTATCGTGTACGTCAACATTGGAATGTGACAGGTACATGCAGCTATTGGGTTCCAAGTGTAACGAAACGTTCTTCATATATTCCACTGTTAACCACAATCCAACTCGAGTATAACTTGAGACTAAATGGCAGAATTCAGGTACTTTAATCAGAACGAACATATGTCAGACGAGACTGATCAATCCTAGTTCTTAACGCCAACAATCAGATAATATAAACTTTAACGAACAAAATTTTAGTAGTTAAGACGTAAGAAGGCGTAACAACGTAAAGAAATAAAATAACGCCAGAAGATATTGATGGAACTCACTTGCCAAAACCATGTGCCTTGCATAAGATAAGTCCAACTACGTATTAAACCATAAATAGGTTCGTGTGGATTTAATAATTCAACAACTGACACTAGAATCCCTAATATAATCATACCAGTTAATAATAGATGTAGGTAAACATCTAGTGGATTTCTATGGTGTAAATGAAACAGGAATAGAAATAGTTCTCCCCATAGCGCTATTCCATGAAAAAGATATTCTGATTGACTGAAACGTAAAAAAACAAAGGGGGGAAAGCGGTAAAAATGATATTAGTGTTAGAAAGAAAACAAGTTCATAAACACTATTTTACATTGGCTTTTCAGTGTGCAGTACAAACATTATCATATTCTGTCATTATTTTGTGGAGATTGGTTAAGTTTTTAGGTTGTTTTTGTTACAGATTGATCTTGTTTTGAGCAACAGCAGAAATCCTGGGGCACTGGATAGCTGTTTTGTAGTAGCTTAGAACTTAGCAACGACCCTGACTAGGATAGAACCTAGGACCTTCAAGTTTAGCGGCAAACGCTTAAAGGTTGGGCTTCCAATTGTAAGATTAAATAGCAATCCAGTGGCTCTAATGGTTCACCATGACCTCTGATTGGGTTATGTGTAACTAGTAATGAGAAGTCCCGTTTTTTTTAATAGAACAGCTATCCAGTGCTCCCAGATCTTCAATTGTATCTGAAATGAGATAAGTCCATAACGATCGATCACCACTCAGCGATCAATCAACTACAAAAACAAAACTTGTCTCCATAATCCTTAAAACGAAATGATAGATTAATCAGGTTGTTTGTGTGGATTACACAGTAAAAATAACTATATATTTATTTGGTAATAAAATCGATTAATAAAATGTTCAGATATTTATCTGTCTAAACTACTCGTGATTCTATATCATTACTTTCATTGTAATTGAGTAATAAGGTCAGTTAAATGAATAAGAAATCATTATACAAAGAGTTTAGTTATTCTTGATTCAATTAAGAAACATTATTTTATTGAAATCAATTTGATGATTATCAAAAAGAAGTATGATTATCTACAGTAATGTAGTTGCTTTCCGTATTATTGATATCCATTTTTAGAAGAAACATATTATAACAGATAAATAAATTGTAGTGAACAGAACACGGGTGGGGATAACTGAATGTATTTGGCACCAGTTTGCAGAGTTACTTGGTAAAATAGAAAAACAATATAGCAAATCGTTAATATGCAAAATATTATTCCTTCATATCAAACCGGACTGTTGCTGTTGCAATCATCAATCCATTGTCTCACATTTCATTGTTCATGTGTTTTCTTACAAATTTCATTGTGTTCTCGCTCTTCCTTCCTTGATCTTCCCACGTCTTCTGCTGCCAGACATTACGTCCTTGACTCGCGTCATATACTACTTACATCAATATAAGTAGCACGCATCACAATATGAGTACACTTCTTAAGTGATTTTTATTACGAGTTGGAATCAACCTTTATAATCATTGAAATTCAGGAATTTTGAGGTTTTTAAACGATTTGAAGCCACTGCGTCCATGAGAGATCGAACCAATGATCTTTAAATTTCTACGTAAGTTATTCAGTGATTGTCTAGTAAGTTTACATTTGAGAATTTATTCAATTTTTGTAGTCCAGTATCATCAATGAGTATTTCCTTCACTTTCAACTTGTTTGGAACGATGAGTTACGATTAACAATCAATGATCATCATGTAGTGACCAAAATCATGTTTGTGTGATCCTCGTCATATTCTATCGACCAAGTTGTTACATTATCACTAGTTCAAGTGACTCAACAATTACTGCTTTATGTTATGTTAGATAACTTGAGTTCGTCTTCTCAGTCATTTAAGACTGGAGAGCCTAGTGACCCAAGTTTAAATTCAACAGAAAATATTAATTTTCTTACGAGTGTCCTTATTTCTTGCTGATGACTCCTGTCTAACATGAAACTTAGGTCCACAGTTTCCTGTCGACTACCTCCAATTAATATCACGAATTTTCACTAGAACTTCAAAAGACCCTATCTCAGAATTAATCGATACTCAGTACACCATTAACATTTGTTAAATTCAAATGAACATTAGCAATTATTGAAAAATATCAGTACTGATAAACCTCAAATCAATAAATGTACTGCGAGAAAAAAACTATTATGAGGAATGTTGGTTCATAATCATATGAAAGAGACTGACAGAATATATTTCCGTAAAAAAAAGAGTATCTCTAATCCAAGTATATGTTAACCAAAGCGATTTGTCAATATATTAGTTAACTTAAACACGATTTATATTACGAACTGACCTTAATATGATAACCTTTGAAAATTAGGAGTTATTACGATACACATACCTGTGATGAAAATGATCTCAAAAACGTACAAACCATGAAAAGGTATCGGATTAAGTGATAATCGTGCCTACTGATGATCGTCTTCGATGATGATCTATTTGTAGTTTTATGGACAAATGAATCATAAACTTGCGAAATAAATAAAGTCTTTGATAGTACAATGATTCTCGGAGTATGAAATAAAATGAAGATCACGTCAAAAATGTAAACTTTTAAATAATAAATAACCGATCAACTGGTATTATTATACTTCCCAAGAGATCTAAAGTATCATGATCGCCACTTTATATGGGGTCATGAGAGTGAAAATAAGGATGACGTAGTTATCACACAGTGTTCTTTGATTTTCTATTATTCTCTATTTGATGACAAAATATATTTTAATTTACTAAAATTTTGATTTACATTACAAAGGATCCGATTACATTTTTCTAGATTATTTGTGCAGATTATTCAACTTTTGTAGTTTACATGATGCAATGACTTTGCCTAGATAATATCTCAACATGTTCTACAAAGTCCCGTACTAATTACTGATAATAACAATAATGATAATCATATCCTCATTAGCAACCAAATTTAAGAGGTCTAATAGTAGTTAATACCCTAATGTGGTGGTCTGGCTTATCTATCATGATTACTTGAATGGGATATATTAGCTGAAACATTCTATCGTTTAGGTTTCTCAGATAATCAGTATCTCCAGGGTTTCTACCCACTCACAATGTAAGTGGAGTTTCAGAAGAGTCAGTGGGTAACCGACTTCAAATATCTGTTTTCTGAGCTCCGCGTTTACGTTTCCAGATAGTCAAGGTTACTACTGTTCAATTTCGCTTCGAAAATACCCAAAAAAATATCCGTTCGTCCTGTACGCGACTGTGCAGTGAAAACTTTCTATAAATCTCCAACAACATATGAATGATATTTGAAGGGATATTCCTAGAGTTGTAATAAGAAACTGTGGTCATTGAGATTCGACTAACTAGGATCGTGAGACAGGTTATAAACAATGGTCATGTAATACCGGTAACTGATTTAAGTCAGTGGTGTAAACTATTGGGTTTCATTGTAACACACTGAGTATGGATTTACTAACGGTAAAGCATGATGACAAAATTATTAGGAACAACTGTTTGATTAAACGTTATTTTTAAATTAAGAAATTCTCTCCCATCATTTAATAGATAAATAGCATTCAAATTTATATGTAAACTTAAATAAGTAGTAAATATTTACGTACAGTGGAATTTTAAAAATCCCATAAAATATACACAATTCAATAGCTCCACTTAATCCAAATAATGAGAACATTGTAGAATGTTGCGCATTACCAATATGTACAAATATCCAATCATTACTAAATCCTGTAATCACTTCTCCTATTATTCCAATAATACAAAACACTAATTTAGCTAATGAATCCAATGGAAATGATTTTTTACAACAAGAAAAACACTTCTTTATATCATTTTCAGTATGTTGTTTTCTTTCAATTGGATATGATATTCTACATGTATATTCAGAAGTTGATTCATTCGATTTATTTAATTCATAACTTTTTCGTCGATAAAATTTCTCTAATATATGCCAAATAGACCATAAACCATAAAGAATAAAAAAACTTCCAGGTAATGCATGTCCACCAAATGTCCCCATCTTTAATTCTAACTGATGTATATTATTGATTACAACAGATCTCTTCAAGATGATATGATTTTAATTAAATGTTAGTAACTGTTTTTTGTGTGTGTGTGTGTGTTATAAAATAGGCGTAACTAAAACTAACTGTTAAAATGACCAATCAGAAAACAGTTATTATTTGAATTAGGTGAAAAAACAGAAATCTGATTGGTTCATAGCAATAAAATCGATTGAAGTAATGAATATGATTACTATTTAGTCTGTATGAATAAGGTCATTGATAATAATACTATGTTGCGTGACCCAACTATAAATACTCATTAAGTGCACTATTCATTAATCATTATAATAATATTAAAGATAAATTTCTACAGATCCGATGAATATCGGTTCTATTTGGATGTTGAAAACTAACAAGTTTATTTTTTTTTAAATTCTATAAATAGTAACTAATTATTTTACTTAACTCTATGGCTCAATAAAATATACAATGATGTTTATTTCAATCAGTTTGATTTTCTATGTGGATTATCAGATTTAGTCTAATTAATAATGTTGGAATATTCAGGAAAATATCTCAAAAATGTCATACACATAGTTCCCTTTATCATTTTGAAAAGAGCAAGAACAAAGATTCTAGCAGATTATCATGAATGTATTTTGTTTCGTAGGTTCTCGTCAGCTGCTTACAACCTGTGATATTTAAAAATCATCATAATTACATAATGGGTTTAAATTGCTAACTGAATATTGTAAATATATACCTAATGTAAAAGAATATTCTACAACATTAATTGTGACAACAGTTCAAAAGTGGGTTAGAAACAATCGATTACATAATGAATAAACATTGATAGGAACATACTGATTAGAGTTCAGTTGAAAGATTATTAATTTGAAAGATAGTTGAAAAAATAAAATAGAGTCAATAATGTAATAAATGCAAAAGAAAAAAGAAAAAAATTTTAAGGTGCAGTGAAGGAATATTTGTCACCAGGGCAATAAAAGATTAACCACCGTCTCCTTTTAAAAACATAGATCAGGTTGTTGACGCCTGATGGCAATGGCTTCAGCAAACTTCAGAAGACTGGAGTTTGGCTGCTTACTAATCACCCTAAAGGATTGTAAGTTATCTACCTGATGTCCTGTATCAAGGAGATGTTTGGTGATTGCACTGTTCAGAGTCTTCCTTTCCCTTGTTCTAAGACTTTTTGGAACATGTTCAAAGAATCTAAGATATGCTCTCCTTTCAGTTCTGCCGATGTAGCTGCTTTAGCAGGTACACGTAAATTTATAAATACAGTTGGCGGTAACCGAGAGGGTTGCTTGTCGATCTTTGATTGGGTTATTGAACATGTTGTTTTATAGAGAATTAAAAGTTTAGCAGCCGAATAAGTTCTGGCTATCGCTGTATTCAGTCTCTTGTTGATAATTTGTGCGACGTCATCACCTTTAAAGTTAAGATTTATATATACTGGGTTTTTATTGACCCTAGTTATTACCGTCTTCTTTTCTTTGGGCCTTTTATATTTGTCAATAAACTTTTGTGGATAAAAGCTTTTCTTTTGACATTTTTCTACGTTCATTAATTCTTCTTCCAGTTTGTCGGTGGTACATCTTTTCTGCACTGTAAAATAGTGTTTTAACCAACGCCTTCCTGTAACTAATTGGACAAAAACTATTGAAAATCAGGTAGAGGCCATTCGAAAAATGATTCTATTAAGTCTAGTGCTATTCTTGGACTTGAGATGGTATCATTTTCCTATTGGTCAATATTTATTTCACGTGTCATTTTCCTGGTCGCCAAATAATTTACAAATGTTATTTTCCATTTTATGGTACGATGTGGTCTGCTTGATTGGTATATAAGCAGAGTATACTTGAAATATAACAATTCATATCTCAGAGGTTGAGACTTGCGTTCTGGACTCAACTGGCTGGGCTAGACAGGGCAGCAGGGCCAATCAGGATTCTAGGTCGTTCTCACGTGTTTCACACGTCTTTGGTCCGATCGATAATACGCTTCGCTCTAATCTTCAAGCACAAGTCATAACAATTAAGTCTTTGTAATTCACGAATTTACATACTAGCGTACATCTAAAAATCATTGCGAAATAACTCTAATTTCTGGCAGTCTGAATTCTTCGTCTTGACATTATATATCAGTAAAAAAAATGTACGGAACAGTTGGATGACCGCTTCCATGACTTCGTTGTGCATAATGAAATCAATGAATATACAAAATGTTTTATTTGTGTTTTGAAATTTGAAAGGCTCGTTTAAGCAAAAAGTTAAACGCCATGAAAACATCTTCAACAATTATCAATATAAAAAAACCACTCTCATGAAATAACAGACCAGGCTGTCGGTTGAGAATAGTTTGTTTCAATTGTTGAAATATTTGCAAGTGTATTGTATATTTATAATTATAAGTTTCTATGTAAGAAAAGATGGATGGTGGCAAACAGTGGAATCCAGGAGGTGTGTTTTGTCCTATTTGAGACTCGTAGAATAGAACGTACCTGTATCTCAGGGACTCTAACCCAGTACCGTTCGCTTCAAACACCACCGCGTTATCCACTTAGCTACTGATTCCTGATGTCCACTTGCTTGTGCAATAGGGTGAAGTTTAAATTTACTGCATTTTGTTTGTTTGCTGTTGATCAGCCTCTTAATGCCATATGTGAACTTAAACTCTGAGATGCAGGTAGATTCAGATAACGAGTCCCAAACAGAACGAAACGGGCGTTCTAGATTTTACTGTTAACCACTATCCATGGTGTGACTAATTTATGGACGACGCAATCAGATATAAAATAACAGGTCTCGAATTTTGGAGCGAAATTCACTCATCCATTTGATTAAATAGAGTTTTGGCATTATAGCTGATGTCAGTTCGTGATGAAAACCCTAAATCTAATTCCTAACCGTAACCATCAACTGTAAATCATAATGCTAATTCTTCATACTGGTTTATAACCCTCATTTGCTTCTAGTTATTAGGTAGACACTCTCAAGGTCAACTTAGCATCGATCAAAGGTCTTCCATAAATTATAGTCTCACCCTATCCATCTTTGTTTATAATGCTTATGACTTGAGGCAATATCGAGACAATCCGCACAGGATGCACATATGCCAATATGATCAATTGCAGTCCTAAAAACCAATAAAAAGATTCAAACAAACAATGCAAGATGAATATAAGTCTTTTTTAGTAAATCAGGATAAATTATTGAGTAAAATATATGTATAATTAAGCTTAGATTACATAGACCAACTTGCTTACGAAGAAAGTTCTTTTCGCTAGATTGCCGGCTGTTTCTGTCTGACTGCTCATAGAAGGGCATCACGTGTAGAATGTAAAATACTCTGGGCTGAATTGCTTATTATTAGAGGGATTCATAGTTGCTTAGTTATTCAATGGAATAGTCAAAAGCTTTCTCAACATATTGTCTTGATTCATCGATACCTTATAGTATGCAGGCAATAGACATAGATTACTAAAGATAGTCGCACTCTATATCGGAAATGTCATATTTATAGATAACCGTGTGGTGGTCTCAGACCTTTGTATTAATGAAAAATATATATATACTTAAGTAGGTTTTTGGAAACATTGTAATTAAACAGTGAAGTAGTGTTTATGGTTTAATTTGTAGATATATTGTGATATATTCTCGACTGAATATTGATTGAATTTAGTCACTTAACCTCTTCAAACACAAGTACTTGCTTGATAGTCTCTTTACCTCTGAATTATCAATGTAATGATGTGAACTTTATATTGGTTAAATTAAGTCTTTAATACTCAAGCAAGTATTTGATTCGATGAGGAAATTTTCATCATAGAATGATGTTATTTGGTGAAGTGTTGAAAGCTGTAAACTATGAGATAGTAGTATCAGTTCATCTTGATTGCACAATGCACTTTTGTGGTGAGTAGCCAATACATTTGATGTAAAATTAAATATTCTATATTGTGTTTAAACTGATCATAGTAATATAATATAATTTTATACTGCGTACTTCGAATTTTAGCTCTTGATTGAGTATGTCGAAGTTCAAGACTTATTGGGATTAGTTCGATTTCGATATATTATTTCAAATTCACAACATTTCATGAACAATGTACAAAATAACACTTCTTCACGAATTCCGTCATAAACAGATTTGACAAATGAACAAAGAAACTTCTACTTACAGACAAACTCCCAAACTATTCCCAGTTTCATATGGATTACAATGCTTGTGAATTAAATAAAAGATTGCGTTATGCGGGTTCTGGTTCTAGGAATAAACGGTCCTTTGGTAAGGTATGGCAATGCGAACACTAACTAGAAATAAATTACGAAAGTAGCCGTTAAATACCAGTCAATAATGTCTTTATGTCATGACTTTATACTGATTTTAGCTTGTGATCGATATGAATGTTGAACTACAACATAGTTTTAGTGGTTGCTCAGTAGTTTTCGTGATTACAGGTCGATGTAACGTGCCGTCGGTGCCATTTCTAACTTGACTTTCAAATCTGAAAGCACTTAGTGATTGCTCACTTATGTTTTGATAGCCGGTAATTTCGTTTGTATTTCCCTACCTTTACTCTCTTCTCATTCAACTTACGCTCTGTAAGTTGCTTTTAACTACTTGTTAGTGTTTGGCAACCAGTTGCATTTCTGATTATTTCCGAAGATACGTTGTAACGTACGCCAATTTTTTGTAAATTCTCAAAGTATTTACATGAACTGATGACATTTACTTCAGTTAGATTTTATCAACTCTTATAACACCAGGCACAGCTACTGTCACTTACGTTGTCGTATGTTTTAATCAATCTTAATTTTATTATTTCAGGAAGCCTTACTTTTCAGACGAACAGACACGTTAATCGTCACAGATACTTCAAAAATTCAGTGGGGTTTCTCATCAATATATATTTATATAACAATTGTAAGAATAGAATCACTTTTTAGATAAACCTGAAGTTTACGCGTATCTCAATCGTGTGGTTGGATCCTTCGACAGATTCAACAGTAGCCATTTCAATCCACTTTAGGTCGAGAGAGAAAATATATTGTCCTA